CAAAGTTCAACTTCTTATAAATATATATATATATATATATATATATATATATATATGCATAATATAGGGATATCATGGCTCTTGCACTCTTGAAATCGCTGCAGATTCTACAGATAAATCCCAACATGTTGTTTGATTCGCAAATCTGTTTTCTATGTGTGGTTGGAAAGTTATTTTTGCATCTAGGAGGACTCCCAGGTCCTTCACTATATCCGTTTCCTTCAAAGGTATATTTTTGATTTGGTACCTATGAGAAATTTGTTCCGGGAGAGTCTAATAAAAGTACATTTATCAGCATTTAGAAACAAATCATTATTGTCACAAAAATTGACAAAAGTATCTATATCACTTTGGATTTCTTTACAGTCATTAATGTCTCTCACTGTATGCACTATTTTCAAGTCATCGGCGTATAATAGACAATTTGTATATTTAAAGGATTTCTTTAAGTTGTTGATAAAAATTATGAATAATAAAGGACCTAGGTGACTTCCTTGTGGGATGCCAGACGTAACCGTAACTGGCAGCGACTTGAAACCGTTGATAGCTACAATTTGCTTACGATTGGTAATGTAAGACCATATCCAATGACATAGTGCATCGTCGACACCAGTTTCAGCAAGCCTTTCAACCAGCAATTCATGATTTATTTTATGAAAAGCCTTGCTGAAGTCAGTGTATATGCAATCGACTTGGGTCTTGCTATCTGGAGCTTTACAAATATAATCAGTGTAAAGCATCCCACAAACCGGCGCGAAATAATCGCGGCGAAGTATTCGCAACGAAATTCAGAGCGAAATTCGCAATCTGTTTCGCCATACCAAAGCGTCTTATTCGCTCCGCGAACGTGAAGGTTTCGACAGGTTGGGTACATTTTATTTTTGCCTTTTGCAATGAGCTCGTCTTCAGAAGAAGAGGAGGCACTTCTATTTCTTGCTTTAGAAGAGGAACAAAATGCACGGTAAGTTATGTTTATTTAACGCCATTTGATAGTTGGGTATGTATTAAGTTTAACGAAGTACATAAAACAAATATTTTCAATTTTGTTTAGGAAACAAATTATCGTGAAGCTATTTCGCCAGAAGAACGACTTGCTATTACACTCAGGTAAAAAAAGTATATGTATTAAAATTAGTAGGCTTATCGAATACGAAAACTTCAGGGATCGTGAAATAAATATTTTATTGTAATAATTGGACTACATGTATCCACTAGGATTAAATGTTACTAGGAGTAGTTACTGCTGTAGTGTTCAATGAAGAAGGTGGTGCTGTCTGTGTTGCCGAGGCGTTCTGTGCATCTTCTGCATCTACATCAGCATTTTCATCTTCTCCATGGCCGCGGTCCTCCAAATTTTCGGTTTCTACATTTCCAGCCCTTTCCTGATATATATTTGAGTTAAATTCGGCAGTCTCATAATGTATGACGTCAATATCTTTCACATTAGACGACGTTTTGGCAAATGCCAAAAAAGTACGGAAAAATTCCATGTAGTCAGCCCACTGCCATTTTTTTATGTTGCCCACTGCTTGGCCGGTCTTTGGTTTGGTAGATTTTATATATTTTGCAAATGTGTCTCTGATATTCTTCCACCTTTTTTTTATTTCATCACCTAAAAACGATTTTTTTTTATAGATTCCTTGCCACTGGTGACACCTTCTATACCATTGGGCATAGCTTTCGAGTTGGCTTTACAACAGTGAGTGCAATCGTAACCGAAGTCTGTGAAGCGATATGCAGACATATGGAGCATATTGTATTTACCAGAACCAACAGAGAATATATGGAAAAAATGTGCTGAAGAATTTGAAAATAGATGGGGATTTCCCAATTGCATTGGCAGCGTGGACGGTAAACATGTAACAATCAAGAGACCTAACAACAGTGGCTCCAATTACTGGTGCTATTTACATAAATATTCAATAGTACTTATGGCCATTGTTGGCCCGGACTATAAATTTATATGTGTTGATATTGGTGGTTTCGAAAAAAATAGTGATGGGGGTATTTTCGAAACCTCAAACATGGGAAAACGATTTGAACAAAATTTAATGAGTGTCCCTGCACCTAGATTTCTCCCTGGGCAAAATGAAATCTGCTCGTACGTCTTAATTGGTGATGAAGCATTTGCTTTAAAACCATACCTTATGAGACCATTTCCTTATAAGCAGACTTTAACAGAAGTCAGAAAAGAGAAATACAATGTAAGACTTTGTCGAGCTAGAAGGGTCGTGGAAAATGCGTTTGGTATTTTGTCTCAAAAATGGCGAATATTTTACAGGCCATTAGAAACTAAAGTGGATACTACTATTCTAATTGTACGTACGGCATGTGTTTTACACAATTTTTTACGAAGTAAAAGTGGCGATGACAAATATTTTCAATTCTTAGATCCCCCAGAACCCGTGCTTGGAGCTTTTACTGATATAGCAAATGATCCTCGGCGGGCAGCAAGGCTAACATTTTCTACTCGTGACAAATTCGTAAATTATTTTAATTCTGATATGCCTATGCCCAATATATAGAATGTTCTTTTTCACATTTGTGTAGACTGTAAATTATTTAACAAGTTAATGAAAAATATTAGGTACATACCATTTGTATTTAATTCTTTTCCTATTTCCATCCAAATCTTGTCTTTCTTTCTCACATTCCTGTATTCATCGTTCGACAAATCATACAAACAAGGATACTTTTTCACTATTTCTATCAATAATTCCGTTTTTGCCATTGCGAATTTTTGAAGAACGGCGTCAAAAACGCGGTCAAAGGCGAACTGAAATACGCCGCGATAAAAACGCTGGAACAATCGCATTCGCTTCGCACAAGTCTGAGCCTGTCCGTAAACCGCCGCGTTTTAATCTAATCGCGAATTCATCGCCGCGAAATTTTCGCAGCCAAAGCGAATATTTCGCGCCGGTTTGTGGGATGCTCAACACAAAAAATTAGATTCTAGGGACCGGTTTGGAAAAAATCCGTGCTGTTCTTCGATAATTATGTTTTTTACTGATGAAATTATTAGGTTGTAAACAACTTTTTCGAGCAACTTTGCAAAAGTGCACAGACCACTGATAGGTCTATAATTAGTTACCAGTTGTTTATCTCCATTTTTGAATATCGGAAGAATGTATATGTGCAACCTTCCATTTAGTATGAAAATATTTTAGTTTTAGACTTGCGTTAAATATAATCTGTAAAGGTACACATATACCTTCCGAACATCTTTTAATGAAAATGGGAGGGATGTTGTCGAGTCCTGAACCTTTGTTCTCGTCAATATTACAAATGAGATTTTTGACTGTCTCTAAAGGCAATGAGTATGAAATACTATGATTTCCATTCACTTTTAGAGGAACTAACTTTTTAGGTTCAACAAAAACGCTGGAAAAAAATTCCGAGAATAAGTTGCACACATTTTCACCGTCACGAGCAATTTTAACTTTATAGTAGACTGTGCAGGGTATAGATTCGTGATTTTTCTTTTTGCTGGCAACATATTTCCAAAATTTTTTGCTGTTTAAAACTGTTTCTTCTGCAATTTTTTTCTCATAGTCTCTGAAATCCCTAGCTATCATTTGTTTTGACTGTTTCCTTAATTCTTTATAAGATCTATATTTTTTATGAGATTTGATTTTTTCTTTGATCTTCTTGATCGTATCGTGCTTAAAATAAGAGGGAAAGTTCCCTCTTACTTTAGATGTAGGTACGTTTGAAGCTATTGGTGAGTTTAGTTTTTCATAAAAAATATCAATCATTTTGTCCAAGCTATCGACATCGAACAACTTGACCCAGTTTATATTGTTAAAAAATGAATTTATAGTTTCATAGTCTGCTTTTTTAAAGTTGTGAACAGTACTGTCCTCTTGAGAGCTGAGCTGAGCCTTTTGTTGGAATAAAAAAACTCGATAGCAGGATGATGATTGTCCTCATTAACTAAACTATCGGCGGTATGCAATATATTTGAAATCACACCTTTATTGGCGAAAATTAGATCTAGCAATTTATTGTTGCAATTAGCTATTGAATTAAATTGTGCCATTTCTAGGTATGCAAGAGTATCGATGAGAGTGGCATATTTATCTTCTACTCCTTGAGGCTCCAAGTAGATAGAATTTTGTACTGGAACCCAATTTATAGATGATAAATTGAAATCACCTGTTATTAGAACTGAGTGTTTTTGGAAAATACTTTCATTGTTCTGTAATTTACTATGAAAATATGTATGACTAGCTATGTCGTAAGGAGGCAAGTACACACAGCAAATGAAAACAGTTTCAGTACTCTTAGGACCAACTGATATCCACACAACCTCGGCCTCAGATTCTAGTTGCTGACATCTTCTTGATTCCAGGGTCTTTTTTACGGCGATCAGTACACCGCCACCATCTTTTTTATTGGAACTGGTTGTTTCTCGATCTCTTCTATAAATATTATAGCTATCATTGAATATCTCATTGTTGAATACACCTGATTTTAACCATGTCTCAGTCAGACAAATTAATTCATAATCAGCTGCGAGCATATTATTGTGGTAAATTGTTGTTTCTGACCGCAGTCCTCTCACATTTTGATAATATATGCTCAATTTTATACTTTTATCCATTAACAACAGGGACTATTATCTAGATGACCTAACCTAAATGTTTATTTGATATTTTTAATTGCTTCAGCACTACTAATGTGAATAGTCTTGGAGGTATCAACTTTTCTAACAAATATCTGTCCACCTTTGGTCCATACGAATTTATACTTTTTATTTTTAGCAACTGTTCTTGATTCTTTGAAGAGTATCTTGTTTGCCAAAGTAAGATGCTCATTAAGATAGACAGTCTCGGATAGACCTGTGATGTTCATTCTAGGTGAACCACTCTCGCGCTCATTTCTTTTGATTTTGGCATTCAATTTTTCCCATGTTTATGTTTATTTATATCGATATCGTAATTACCTTTATCATACCAACACACATATAAGTTACTTACATATAGATTATATCGTATCGGGCTATTTACTTAACACACGATATTTTTTACATGTCAAAAAATGTAAAATACGTATCTTCTAAACCATCATTGCGTACATATTTCTCGACTTCCCACTAACGAGGGATATTCAACGACATTCCACAATGAAGTCAGCAATCATCGGTTTGTTCGTGCTAGTAGCCATAGCTCTTACCTTTGAAGAGTCGGAAGCCAGGTTGGTGTGTACTCGAAGGATCTGCGATACGGTTAGATGTGCTAAGCAGAAATGTACCGCCAAACAAGTACTAGTCAAAAAAGGAGGCTTCTGTGGGTGTTGTGATCTTTGCGTCACTATTTTGAGTAAGTTTATCGTTATAATAGGAAAAGTCTAATAGGTAGAAGGTTATTATACCATAAGTTTGGAACAATTTGGCTGAAGAGCTTTGACGAAAAACCATCTTGACAATTCGTACGAGATTATTTGCTGCCACAATTGTTCTCTACTATCCATTCACTGGTATTTGAGATAGACTTACCAATGAAAATGGTGTTATTTGAATACAATTTTATTTACAGTTAGGCGTGAGCAAGAGGAAAAGGTGACTAAAGTCTGAAGTGAAAACAATCCCTGGTTTTTGCTAAAAATATTTGGGGTTATCCTCGATGCCATATACATTAGCCCAGTCTTTGGAGTATGCTTCCAATTTGTGGATTCTTAACGTATCTCATCCACAGCTAGCTGTTTTGGGGTCCGAAGAGCCGCTAAAATCTTACCACCATCTTTATCCTTGTCTTGAGTCCATAACAAAAACCAGGTTGCAGAAAATTCAGAACCTTTGCTGACATTTTGTTTTCAGTCTTCGTAGCTACAGCCATGTTACAACTAAGATTTGTGAGTTGAAGGGCTGAAGCTCACAAATCTTTTTGAGCTTTATATGTTACTTTGTATACACAGCATAATCATCACCAAGAAACCTATGTCTATGTACCAACTAGTTAGTTCCTTGAAGAAATCTAATTACACCAAGGTTACGTCATGATGCCCAGTTCGATATTCCTCTTCACCATACATCATTGTATCTTTTACGTACAATGCCGTTCAGTTATACAATTGACTGAGTACGTCTAGAAAACAAAAATCCTAACTTTCCTCATCTATAATAACAACAATAGGAGACCATTCATCATTCCAATTTTTCGGTCAAGTTTCTGTCTAAAACTGCACGAGGGTCCAACACATTATTAGCAACACTGCAAATGTTTTGTCTTCAAAATTACTTCCTCTTATGTTTAACTGTGTATGTATGAAATCAAATCATTTTTACTGTATGTTCTGATGTATTTGTAACTGAGTATATATGAAGCAATACTCCTCTTCGCCTTCTGAAAGAGTAGTTGAAGCTAAATCTTCTATTTCAGTCCATTTTATGACAAAGACGACATATCCGAAATTATCCGTTTTAAGATGAATGTGAATTATTATTTCCAACGTTCAGGAGCAATAATATCCAACTGTGGAATGAATGCATGCAGGCTTGTATGTGGTCAAAATATATAAAATATGCAACAGATGAATCCTATATTTCTTAGATCGAAGTTTTCCAACTTGTGGTCATATCTATTCTTAATTGGCTTAGACATGTGGCAGTTTGTCGTAGCCAGTGATTTTAAATTATCTTTAACGCTGCAAGATAGAATAATCTTCATGTTCCGTATTTTTCGTAACTACTCGATCATATTATATGGTATTTTATATTTCGTTTGTTTTACCAGAGGAAGGAGAGAATTGCGCAGATATTTTCTGGAGGAACTCCATCAACAGTGAGATGTGGAGACGGACTTCAGTGTATCAACGGAGTCTATAAGAGTTTATAGGGGCTCAACTGAAAAATCTTAAGGGAGCATTGAACAAAAAATAAATGTACAAATTATTGTAGTCATTTGTTTTCTTTTCACCCTCTTTTTGGAGAAATGATGTCTGTAAATTGAGTGCAGAGACTAGCAACGTGACGTTCGATCTGGCAACTCTGGAGGCGCAAGGCTTGGAGGAAAGACAGGAGAACATTTGATCCGCCTTCAGTTCAAGTTTGAACTCGCTGGAGTGATTTGGTTGGAAGTAGCGACTTTTTTGTGAAACAGTTTTTTCTATCGTTTTCTAAAAATGAGTGACATCAATTACAAGCAACGTGTAAGTTTTGCTTCAGACTTGGGCACAGTGCAACGGGAACTGTTTCTAAACAGGCCTACGGAGATGGTCTTTTGTCAAGAGCGCAGTTTTTTTGGTGGTTTGAGGCATCTTCAAAGGGGAGAGAACCGATTGAAGCTGAACCACGAAACGGAAGGCCTTGATTTTCAAGAACCATTAAAAATATCGACAGAATCCGGGATCTTGTGCGTTTGTCGGTTGATATTCAGAATGATAGAGAAAGAGTTAAATTTGGACTCACACCATCGTTCATCAGATCAAGAACAACTGGATGCTGTATCACGATAACGCGCCTTATCGCGCAGCAATATCAGTAAACGAGTTTTTGGCCAGTAAAAACATACCTGCAGCTCCTCGGCCTCCTTATTCGCTTGACATGAGTCCACGTGACTTTTTTGTCTTCCCGAGGTTGAAAAATCACCTCAAGGGAACTCAGTTTGGGACAGTTGAAAACATTCAAACGGCTATAACCGATCAGCTAAAGACTATTCCAGTATCGGAGTTCCAGAAAGAACTGCTATGAGGAGTGGAAGAACCGTCTCCAGCGCTGTGTGGCTTCAGAAGGAAGTTATTGTGAGGGTAACAATATAAAATTGTAAATAGGTATATTTGAATAAAAACATTAAAAAAACAGTATCGTCACTTAATTTATAGTCCTGGTACATGCAAAAGAGAAAAGTCATAATTTATGGTAATTCAGCCCACTAGATGATCTCGTTATGCTTCTCCTGCTGCCAAAGTGTCGCTCGAGAGAGCTTTGCTACTTAGACTTAGGCAGCTTAAAACTTCAACTCGTTGTAATTTCTGGTCAATAACTTAAACCTTAGAATAAGTTTGCACTGTTACTATTTTTTATAAAGACAAGGGCTGGCTACAGGCGGTAAGCAAATTGGCGCAGTACAGTGGGGAGCGCAAAAATCTGAATTAATATGGGGAGAGCGCGCATATTTTGTCCTCAGGTCGCACAAAACTCTGAAGCCGGCCATGATAAAAACCACAAAACCAGCTTTTTGGTTGAGAATTTTCTCAAAGACGGTAAATTCCCTTTTTCACTATTATCCATTACGGTACAATAACAGCTGATTATCTAGTAATATTCCAAAATTTCCCATATTGACAAATGACACATAATTCTGACGGATCCATCAACGCCAGGTAGACAGAGCCGTATTTTGTTTATTTTTTGTGAGCTGCAGCTTCATTTTATACTTGCTTACAACTGTTTTATTTAAAAAAGTGCATAAACATACAAAAAAACGCTACAAGCAAGTTTTATTGGATTTACACCCGATTCATTGTTGCCAACGCTACGGACTAATACAAAGATGTCAGTTTCTGAACTGCTGTTTACCTCAGTAGATGTCAAAACGTGATGGATGCTCGTGAAATAGCGTATATGCCTCTCCATGACTTGAACTAGCATGTATTCATGAATTCATATAGGCATCTTAACTGTAGAAGGATTCCCTTAGGTACATAATCATCTGGAAGAAGAAATAGATTTCTACCGCGTCGCGGTGTGTTTCTATACAAGGTATCCCAGCATGACATGACAATCTTTAGTATGCATAAAGAGCACTAAAGATGACGTCAAGTAGGTTAACTTTGCACTTTCCACGCAACACCGTTATCAGTTCATAAAGGATTATGTTCGGCACAAACTAGACCCTCTAAGAAAAAAGTCAGTCAAACAGATCCATACAATTAGTCCATAGACATTCTGTCCCTGTTCTATGGGTAGTCCATCTGGCAACGTCGCCTGTCCCCGATTCCTGACCCGGTCAGACGTGGCAGCGCGACCACAATATAGGAAACACTATAAACCCCACCCCAAATTTTTTACAACTGGTTTTTTTTTTCAAAAATGATCAGAGTCCTTTGAAACGTCAAGTAACGAAGTTTTTAATTTTTTTCTTTCTTTTGTTTTTAACCTTTCTCTGCCGCTACCGGACCAATTTTCAAAAACTATAAAGATTTTTCATCCTTAGTATAGAAGTATCTTTATGTAAAAAAAATTTCAAAATCCGAGCATTACTTGACAAGGTATAGGCGGTTATAGGATTAGCGAACAGACAGACAGGCAGAAATGGGTGACATGCTTTTTCGTGACGTACATGTCATATAACATCCAAAAAACGTAATATCTCATTTTCGAAAATGTTCGCGATTACAATACTACCCTGCCAAGTCGTGAAAAGTAAAAATAATTTCACAAATTACCACGAAAACTGCCTCTAAAGGTCAGGACTGAAAATCGGTTTTTCTCAAATAACTTTTGAATGATACTGTAAAATCAAAGAAATTTTGACAGTTTAATAACTAGTTCGGACCTCACATCATGGACAATCATTAACTTGCTTAGATCGGCAGAGACGGACTAACCCCAAGGCAATATTGCTAAGCTTTTCTCTGTATCATATTGGAAGAAGATTGTGGAAAATCCTGATCGTTGAAAAATATATACTTCTGTTTGACACAAATAAAATGGACCATTTTTGAGAAAACCAGCTTTGTTTCAGTATAGTTATAACAATGTTGATCTGGTACACTGGAAATATAATAATTCTGACAGCATATGCGCAATTGGGAACTTCAGGATACAAATTTTCAGTTTAGTTAGGTTGCACATTTCATTCAGACTTTTTTGGGACTGCAGTGCTAATCGGTACAATCGGTATTGAATCAAGAAATGGTAAATTTTAGCGAAATCAAGAAAGAATATTTTTTTGCTAAAGCATTAGCCTTTCAAAAAATACATATTAATTTTAGGCCACCATTATACGAATATAATATGTCGTTAGGTTCAGTCCCTCACTGGCGATCTAAGTAAGTTAATTGTTATCCACTGGCGCTATCAAGTAAAGCTTCTGGTTACTACAAAATTTCGTTGAATGATACAGTAGCTTTCAAAAGTTATTTAAGAAAGCCCGATATCCAGTAGCGTAATTGAAGGTCTGTATCTCCATAGGGTAGTCCCGTAGAAAATTTCTTATAAGAACTTGACCTTATTTTTTTGTATTTGAAATATTTATGTACGAGTGATTGACATTTTACTCTGGGACACCATGTATATCCAATTATTAACTATAGAGAAGCTTAACCAGCGGTTCAAGATTACGAAATCCCGTTAGCACATAAAACTGTTTCAAGTATCTCCTTAAACAGCAAACGACTGCAGACTATGATGCTAGAATTTTGCCTGAAATAGTTATTGGAAATGCCACGAATATTTTGATACTATTCATGGCGTATTTTGCTTGTTTAATATATACCAAGTCGTAAAAGAAAGTCATACATAATTACTCAAAAATACCAACAAACATAACAAGTAATACCTAAAAGTTCATCAGAGGTTTCTCACAAAATATATCTGCTTTTTTAAATAATTCTCTCACTCTTTGATAGATTACTACTGGATAATGGATAGATGATTTTTTTCGAATTCTGTCAGCGTTGGTTAATGTTGTCGTACGTTTGCTATCTTCTTCTTTATCCATATAAATTTGTAGCCACTTTTTCAAAACAACTATAGAAACTGTCGTGTTTTTCATAGGTTTTGTTATTTTTCATCGTCTATTTTCTTCTGCAATGAGATAGGTCGTAACCTGTCATCCGAGAAGAGTGAAACTACAAATGGAAATCGGCTTCCGAAAATAGCATGACCGGATATTCGACATTCGGTATTCGACAAAATCATTATTCGCGGCATCTCTAGTGATAATTATCACAGTTTTTATTCGTATGAATATAATTTTGTTTGATTATACGTTCTTTTTTTGGCAGAGAAAGGACAGAAATGCCCGAATTTGCATATTGTGGGAGGTGGACCACCAACAGTTAGATGCGCAAAGGGTCTTCGATGTGTAGAAGGAATTTGCAAGAAAGCATAAAATGGATCAACCCCAATAGCATCATCTATTATGAAACACTGGACAATAGATAAAATAAATAAATGAGAAGATAACATGTGTTGCTTTTTTTCATGAAGCCTCATCGATTCTGGTCAGTGACAGATAATATTCAGGTCATACTAAGAGTTTTGAAGTATCAAACATTTTATTTGTGTATTTAATGGATGAGAGAAACCTTTGTTACAAAACAATCTTGATATAAACTTTAAACAATCACATTATAATGTTCTCCACACTTCGTTTAAGCTCATTAACAGGAGTTCCAGATACTTCTAAACTAGATATGCCTAATTCTATTACCTAACATAAGAAGACGAGTTATGGGTTCAGTCAAACCATAATTTGTTTGATGAAAGGGTACAAAGAAAGTACAGTGTGTCGCATTCTCCTATCATTCACATTAAGTGGAATTTTTCATAACTGTTGAGGGCAACCACAATGTGACCATTGATAATTTTGTGCAAGAAAAGTGAGTCAAACTCCAGCCTGCGTCGCTCAAGCGGAGTCATATCCATGTAGTGTAGAGAAGAGTATCTGTGTAACTGTACTCCTCCCAATGAAACTCAGTTTATATCCACAGATTCTCAAAAACTTTTTTTTGCACACGCTCTAGTTGGTTGATCTATCAGTTACAACAGAGATCAGATGGAGCAGCAATACTCAAGTAGCAAACCAAAGAAGAATACAATATTTTAAAAGAAAAAAGTGACAGTTCAACACATTGCCGGTTTATAAAACCTGACATCTTATATGCATAGTTGATTTTTTTTTTATGTATATACGTTAAATGATAATTTTGAGTCAATAATAACTCAAGTCTTTCATCTGGCATCTAGATTGTACCGTTGGTGCTATAAGTAGTTGCCGATAATTTAAGCCTTCAGGCACAGCAGGAAGGAGGTGTTTGAATTAGTGCGCCGAAATTGGAATAGATGTGCCCAAGCTTGCATTGCAGTCAATGGAAACAATTTTGAACAGCTTTGATAAGTAAGTGAACTGTTAAACTGTATGATTATATTATCTCGATTTCTGTAGGACTTTTATTACATTTTTTTGAGATCAACTTCTTTTGTAACAGTGCATATGTGGTTAAAATTTATCGAATAAGTTATGAAACACCCTGTATTATAACATTTATCATGAGTCAACTTTTCTAAAAGGAATAATCATCATTCATGACGATACATATATTAATTTGTGGTTCGTGGAATGAGTGAACATTAAACACCAATACATGAAAGCAGAAAAAAATAAATACTCGTAGGAGGTGCAGTTACATTAATACAAGACAAGACGAATTTAAGGACACGTCAAATGTCATCCATTAGGTCGTTTGCGCTCTAGCTCATGAAATGATGAATTTCAAAGTTGAAGTTTTTTTATAAAATTTTAGTACAACCAGTATCACTCGCAGTGTCGAAACTAATCTAGAGACTTCTAATTTGTAGTCGCTGAAATAGAAATTTTATGGTTGACATTTTTTATTAAAAATTTTCAGTTAGGTTTTATATAATTTGTAATATACCTTGTGTCTCTCGCACTGCTAAAATAAATCCAACACCTCATATATCAAAATCCATTAAAAGTGGCTTGCACGTGGCTTGGACTGTAGCCTACTAGAATTTTTGGTCATCATAATAGTCTAATCATATTAGACAAAAATACCCCTGTTTTGCGAAATAATTGTAACGTCTGGTTTTATTGTTGAAAGTTGTTCAAGGAGGTGTTCAAAACATGAACGGATAAAATGGGTACACCAATTTTTGTGGGAAAACTTTTTATTCGACATCAAAGAATGTGAAAACGTGTTTTTAGGGATTCAATCGAAAGTGTTCCGTAAAAACTCTTCATATAAAATTTTTAGGTATTTTATGATACCTACAAAATGAGACTACATGTAAAAAGATCTGATTAATAGCAAAAACGTTATGGCCGAAAACCGAGGCAAACTGCAGGTTTTGGCACGTGTTGGTAATGCGGCGATGTTTTCTCGCAGATATTTGAAATTCTTCAAATTCTTAGAATTCGTACTTCTAAATAACCACAACAAAATTGGAGTAGATTGGTCAAGTAGTTTTTGAGAATTTCTAATTATTTATCTCGAATCACCTGTTTTCCGGCCATCACTACCAGTTTATTGAGCAATATACAGGGTTAGTTCTAAAGGCATTTTATAGCAAAATACATTAGTTTACCTTGCCGATATGAATCGCAAACCGTTCCGGAAGATAAATGTTATTTTTATGCAAAAAAGGATGGGTTACGTTTTTTCTTCTAAACAAATTTATACACTTCGTATTTGTGAGTAATTCACAACAAAAGTTGATAGACATATCCGCTTTGTTTTAAAATGTGTATAGACGTATGTCTTTCGAAAATTTGTTCAATTATTCACAAATACGAAATGTTTGAATTTGTTTAGAATAAAAAAACGTAATCTTTGTGTTTCGCATAAAAATAACATTTATTTATCGGAATGGTTTCTGATTCATATCGGCAAGGTAAACACGTGTTTAAAACTGGTATTGTAGGATAAACAATTAGAAATTCTCAAAAAACTACTTGACCAATATACTCCAATTTTGTTGTTGTTATTCAGAAGTACCTATGAATCCTACGGATTTGAAGAATTTCAAGTAACTACGTGAAATTATCGTCGCATTAGCAACAAGTGCCAAAACCTACATTTTGCCTCGTTTTTCGGCTATAACATTTTTGTTATTAGTCGGATCTTTTTACGTGTGGTCGCATTATGTAGGTCCATAAATACCTAAAAATCTTATATGAAAACTTTTTTCGTTTCTGTCAACACTATCGATTGAATCCCGAAAAAAACATTTTCTCATTCTTTGTTGTCAAATAAAAAAAATTCCCACAAAAATTGGTGTACCCATTTGATACGTCCATGTTTTAAATACCCCTTGTACAACTTGCAGACTTGCCCCAATAATTTTTCTTTTTTTTAACTAGCCTCATGTGCAGTTAATGGGGTCAGGGGCAAAGAGTGACTATTCCTAACTATATTACAATCAAAAAGCAACACAGCGACTGAGATATGAGAAAAAAGGCACATGCGCATTGCCCTACCACAGCTTAAATAACAATCAGCTATGAAACTCTCTTGTCAGTGTTAAAAACGGCCGCCATTTCGGGGGCGAAAGTCAAATGTAAATTCCCCCAGTACAAATATGAAAAAGTTTTTAGTGCTCAGCAGCAGCCGGTACACTATATCACATCGAAATATCATCATTTTAAGATTGCAAAGAATATCTGCATGGCATGACACGAGGCAACAGCTGCTGCTACTGTGCATTCTCTCTTTCATCCTTGTTCTAGGGGAGTTTACATTCGACTTTTTCCGCCGTAATGGCGGCCATTTTTAGAACTGGCAGGAGATAGCTGATTATTATCTAAGCTGTGGCCCTATATTCATTTCCTTTGCAGTGTACATCTCTGGTCTTCGTGCGTACATACATACCCATTCGCGAAAAGCATAACCGTTCCTCTGGGTGAAAACCAATTCCATATTTATATAATAATTGCTACTATTGTAAGATTTTGCATCTCAACCGCAATATAATCACAAAGTGCCCAAGGAAAGAAGAGCCCAATAGCTCAGTCCAGCTCTGTTCCTCCTGTTACAGGATTTGTGGCGATGTTGCCAACTTTCATTTTAATTATTTTCGCTCCACAATCCACAAGCAACGTAACCAAACTTTTTCTGTTTTCTATGAAAAATGTCAAAGGTGTTTTGATGTGGTTTTAAATCGAAAGCCACTCTTTCTCTTGTTTCGTAATTATTTTCCCGAGTGAATTTCGAAATGGTTTCAGAGAAATACCTCAATAAAGTATTTCTAGCATCAGACGTATACGCGGCTTGTGTACAACATGCCCTTACTACTGAAAGGCAGGAAATCATGGGCTTACTCATAGGAGAAGTAAGCGTCTTTTATTTAAATATCTCCAAACTTGAATGAGTATCAGAGAGGTATCCAAAACAATTGCAGCCTACACTAAAAACAAATGCTTGTAGGTTGACGAAGACACATATGAGTCCCACATCACTGCATGTGTGATACTACATAGAAGTGACAAGCAGCCTGATAGGGTTGAGATCTCCCCAGAACAGCTGTGCACTGCGTCCATGCATGCAGAGCAACTGGCAAAAAAATTAGATAGGCCAATTAGAGTTTTAGGATGGTATCATTCACATCCACATATTACGGTATGGCCTAGTCACGTAGGTAAGTCAGTATTAATATACAAGTAAAGTAAAATGAAAATTGGTTCACTCTTTCTGAAGAATAATAATAATTATTTTTATTTGTTGAGAGCAAGATACAATATTATGAATTGGATATATAGAAAAGCTGAAGTTCAGCTTTCATTCCTAGAGGAATGGCTGATCTGTCACTTACAAAAGAAGGGAGATAAGGATGATAACTAAAAATAGAGACTGAAAGAAAAATAATAAAAAAACAAATATATGTAATCATGAATATACAGTAATGGACAAAAGTATATAGACAAATATGAATATTTACCTAAATACCTTGAGAAAATGAATTCATACTTCATTGCTCGATAAACAAATACGTTATTAGTAGAAAAACTAAATTCCTTGTTTTTACATTATCTGCAGTGACACAATACAAGTCTGAATATAAGCATTTTTTATGAGGGACCAAAAATATGTAGACAAATTCTTTTCAGCACTAGTTTAGTAAAGTTTCGTGTCAGAAGAGGATTAGTCTGTGTTCATCAAGTATTGTGGAATAAGTTTTGTGATTTTAAGACCATGCCACTTGGTCCAGAAATTTCTTTCAATGTGAAAACTACGATCATTGTGTTATACAAAGATGGTCAACATTGTCAAAAATTTGAAGCTGAAGTGTAAAGCAGTCTGGGCAATATTGAACAAATATAAACAAAAAGGTATCTTGGAAGCAATAAAAGTAATTTCGTCCAAAGATCCGTTTAACACCCCAAGACAAATAAAAGCAGAAATTGAGACAAAAGGAATTGTCAGTGTTTCTACGAAAACAGTAGAAGATAGATGATTTGAAGTTATTTGCACGTCGCCAGAGTAAGAAGCCGCTAATCTCGAGGAAAAACCGTAAGGACCGATTACTATTTGCACGGTTGCATCTTGATTGGAGCATCTGTGACTGGAAGAGGGTATGTCTCAAGTTCAAAATGTTTGGATCAGATGGTGTTCATTACGTTAGACGTCCTAGTGTACAAAGATTGAACCCCAAGTACACTTTGCCCACTGTCAAACATGGAGGCGGGTCTGTTATGGTTTGGGGGTGCTTTTTGGGGTTTCGGATGGGACCTTTACAAAGAATAGATGGCATTATGGGTAAGTTTCTATACACAGACATACTAAAGCATGTCATGTTACCCTATATGGAAGACAATATGATCTTAAGATCAATCTTCCAGCAAGACAATGACCCAAAGCACACTTCAAATCTCGCAAAGAAATTCTTTTTGGATGAAATAATACCAGTTCTCAAATAGCCTTCACAGACTCCCGATATAAAGCCCATTGAAAATCTATGGGAATACTTTATTCAAACAAGGTTGAACTTTTTGCCGCTTTAGAGCAAAAGTGGAGACAGATTGATGAATCTTATATCAAGAATCTTCTGCAATCTATACCGAGACGATGCCAGGCGGTGATTGATAATAATGGTTACGCTACAAAATATTAACACAAACATGGTTGGTTTTCTATAATTCAATGAACTATGCTTCTTTTTTTTTATAATTGTTTTGCTTTGTCTATAGATATTTTTGTCCTTCATAATTCCAGTTTCTTTCGATTAATTCTTTATTGAAGGGAGTCTAATGAATTTATTCATGTATAAGTGACTATTATGCTATAACGAATTATGTATACAGGTTGGTGTATTAATAAAACACGTTAAAAAAGAAATACAGCACAATATTAATTTGTCTATATACTTTTGTCCATTACTGTATATGCTACCAGAAAGCTGATATTAGGCTATGATTACTGTGGATGCAGAGTTACAAGGCAGTTTCACTGCACATATTGACATTTTGGCACCTGTACTCATTTCTGCCACCCAGCAAATATGAAGGAAGTTGACGAATTTTAATTCCCTGGAGGTCGTTTTCCTTTTGAAGTTACTCTAATACACAAGAGGTGCCAAAAACAGACACAGACAATATGAAAAAATCAATTGTGTTGAAAGCTCAAATAGTTCTGACATTTATTCGCATAAATTCATCAGAACTGGCCAGAACAAAATGTAGTCAGAATTTGCATCCATAGTAACTGTAGCCTTACTAAGAATTGAGAAAAAATAACTCCCATATGTTTAAGCTTGTTTAGTAATGGAAGCTGCTAACATTTCCTCTGCTGTGATTTTCTGTAGCCGTGTTTTAGAGCATTAGAGTATCAAAAAAGTTATTTTCCCAAAATAAGTCCCATTATCAGTGAAAATGACCTTACTAATCCATGATTTACTCTGTATATTAGATTTCAAGTTCTCAAGCTCTTGATTTATATATTATTTTCAGATGTAAGAACCCAATGGATGTACCAAAGAATGGACCCCTTGTTTGTTGGACTAATTTTCTCAGTATTCCAAAATGACACTCAAAATAGAAGTAACCAGTTACAGATAACATGCTTCCAGGCTAGTGAAAGAATTTCTGAGCCTGAAAGGAGAGAAGTTGAACTAGTTATCAAGCCTTTACCCTTCCACAAATATAATCTTGAAGGTTTGTTTCAAAAGTGCTATTAAAGCTATACACGTTTCAGCAGCCAAAATAAAAATGAGCTGCTGGCATGATCTGTATAATGAAATAAATGCACATTACCCTTGATAAATGTTTTTGACATGAAGGTAGTCAACCAACAAGGGATCTGAAAGATCATAGTGCCATCTATGAGTGAGTAGCGGAAACAAAAATGACTTTAGAAATCGCCTAAGTGAATGTCTATTAGATCGCGCTAGGATCTTCAATCCGTCTTTGACGTCTCTCTAATGATTATTCTAATCTGCAGGCATTAAAGAGGACAAAAAAGGGATTGAACATCCTATCGTCATCTATGGAACAGTAGCAGAACCAAACACTCTGTTTCAAACTAGATCTCTAGGCATTTTTGTGTTCTGCTACTGTCTCATATATGGTGCTAGGATCTTTCAGATTAATCTTTGGTCACTGTAAATACAGTATATGTTGTCTATCTTCAAGTAAAATACTTAACAGGAGATTCTTTGTGTAATTTCAAGACAAAAAGTTCATATAAATATAGGTCCGCAAATCGTTCGTTCTAAAGATACAGTATTTTGAAATTAAAAAAAATGGTTTTTCATAAATATCTCAAATATCCTTCAGCTAATTCTGTTGAAATCTGGCGGTGGCGTTTAAAACATTAACGAGCTAATTTAGTCCTAACCTGATTAAACGTATTAAGTACAGTGGCGTCTCGAGCGGGATCTGACCGAATATTTGTGACAAAAAAATGTACGCTACTGACTTTTGTTGCAATTTTCATTGTTCTTTGGATTAAGTGAATAGAAATACAACTTTTTTACTCTTGATTTTTTTTCCTATCTTGACCACACAAGGAATATGAGAAAGTTTCTTCTGAAAATTATTTTTTTTATAATTTATTACTAATTATGTAACAGCAACAACAAAAACTAAGTAACATTAACATCTTGACTAACAAATTTCACTAAATTATGTGTTGGAAACGCATTTTTTTTTCTCGAAACCTAAGCTAGACACAAAAAAAATTGCAAGAAACAAAAAAGTTGTATTTCTATTTGCTTAATCGTAAGAACATAATAAAAATTGCACCAAAGTCAGTGGCGTATATTCGTTCAGATCGCCACTGGACTTGATAAAGGTAATCAAGCTAGGGCTGAATTAGCTCCTTAATATTATAAATACCACCGCCAAGTTAGAACAAAATTAGATAAAGGATATTTAAGATTTTTTTTTAATTTTAAAACCCAGTATCTTGAGAACAAAGAATTTGCGGATCTGTGTTTATATGAACCCTTTGGTCTTAAAATTACTCAAAGAATCGTCTGTTAGCTTCATGGTACATGATTAACACCCTGCACAATTCGCAAACCCTTCATGTCATTGGGAGTTGCTGTGATGTGTAGCATTCTACTTGCTGAGATACCGAATTATGATTCTGATTCTATTGAAAGACGATGAAGAAAAGACAAAAATTTGGACTTGTAATAATACTTAATAACAAATTCCCCTTACAGGTATAGCAAATTTACCCAGAATACTAATCCAGGAAGAAGTGGACTGCCATACAATCAAGGATAGTGATATACAGGATGAACTGGCCAACTTGCATAATGACTCTTTTCAAACCTTAGCTATAGTTGACATTGTTTCCAAAGTATCAAAACCTCTGTGTGAAGACTTAGAAGACAGACGGAAAGCTCTCAAAGTTAGGATAGAGGCTTTGAAGAGATTGAAGGAGAGTTTCACAAGTACCTAGTTGATCATATTACTTAGGGTATTTTTAGATAGATGTATTTTTTTACTGAAATAAAATTGATCACACTTTCATATTTTATGATAACGTAGTATCCTGGTATAATAGGAATATTAATTGTAAAAGAATCTGTTACAGTTTTAGTTCATTTTCGATTGATATAATTGTTATTGCTGCATCTAAAAATATTAGTGGATTTCATATTTTGTGACCAACAGCCTAATACTTATAAGACTTTTATCTTGCTTTGGACGTTCTTTTTTGTCACCCTTCCATTGACGCTATGGTCTCACAGACCACTATATTTCTAGGTCAAATTAAAAACGAAAGTGATTATTTCTTTTATTATTCTCCAGATCAGGCAGCAGCGGTGGCCGCAGTGGTAGACTCTTCTGTCTCTTGAGCAGTCGCCGTGCGCTGCGCGGGTTCGAATCCCGTCCAAGATAAATTTTTCTCTTGGCTATGGATGTTGTGATCGTCCGTAGGTGCTAGACGGTCGTTGACTGTCGAACGCGGAGGTACCTCCCGGCGGATCTCGTAGGCGGGATCAGAATGTGTGCATGTTGCATGCACACGTATCGCTCGCCTCTCCCCTTACCCCTGTATCCCCCTATAGCCCCACGGTTCCCCATGGGTGTTGAGGACTTAGGCTTAGATAAATGTTTTTAATGAAAATATTCTTATATATTTACACCAAGGGATTTTTACTGATTGGGGTAAGCGCGAAAATTACTACTGCGAGGTTTCTGTGAAACCGCGTGCCCATGATTAAAACGTAATAATGAATATTACCATTTGGTCAATACTATTATCATACTTTTTTTTAGTAGTATGGGTTTAGGGTTCAGAGCCGTAATAGTTACCGCTCACCCATAAGCCTTGTTGTACGCTCCTAAATCTCAGATATTAGGCAGAATCTCGTTCTAAGTTCCTGGTGACCTTGGGAATCCTTCAGGCTATGCCCCCTGACTTGTCTAGCATGTGTTTCTTCTGCCTTTCAGGACAGGAAAGTGGAAGATGACATGGTTTACAGTCGCCCCTATTTTCTGTAGGTGCGCTCTGAATCACCAGTAACTGGTCACAAAATTAACCACCTTCCGTAGCTCTTTCCTACTCAATCTAAGGGCTTCTGCTGTGTTTGGTCTCGAAGGTTCACTCAGCACCTTCTTTGATTGGTTGTGTCTACCTCTTTTACTGCTCATTTCACACCCAAGAAGAGACTGTGGCTCGTGCAAGACTATACGAAATGCCGCACGCTGGTTCTGGTCCACTGAGGACTAGATCAGCTCCTACATTGGCATAAGCATAAGTTCACTCATTACGATCTATCTCCATATGACTTGTCGCCCACTAGAGAATTACTTTCTTGATCTCTTCCATTGTCTTGAGGGTATTATAACAGTCCCATGCGATTTTCGAGGTAAAGCTGCAGCTGTGGCACAAAGATGGTATTTTTGTGATATCAACGATTTTCGCTTGGAATACGGTCGTCAGGTTACCTAGGCATATGCTTCTGCCCTGCCAAGGTCTGACACCGAAAATACGTGCTCCCATAGCTGATGAGGTTTTCGACCCGTCAACGTGTCAAGTTCGACATATTTCTGGGTTCACCCTGACCGAATTCAGTTCTGCTGCTCAGATCAACACCATATCAGTAATCATAAGTTTATGCATTCTGTCGGATAGCATTCCAAGTATGTCGTATATCATGGTGTGTTTCAAGGCATTGCACTTGGATCAATTGCCATTACACTGCATTCTATATGGTTATTATTGCCTAGCTTTCTATATAAATATCGAGAGCTGGTATGCTTCAATGCTGCAGTTCTGTGATTCTGACACTCAAATCGTTGCACCATTGCCTAACATTCGTATATCATAGAGTAGCACCATACATCATCATCGGTACGTCAAACGTGACAGCAAATAAGAGCTGATTATCTGGAAACATTCCAAAATATGCATGACTTGACCAAGCGACAAAAAGGTTTTTTCAGAAGGATGAAAAAACTTCAATTTGTTAAAAATCAATGGGGCGTTAGTGTTAACGGACTTTTCTTCTGGGAATAGACAGTGACATTACTTTATGTATGTAATCTTTTTTTTCAAAAACTCTTATACCTTAAACCTAACTAAATAAAATGGCGATTGGTCAAGTAAAGTTTTCAAAAAGAATGCTTATTTTTCCTTTTATTCATTGACCACAACACATAAATCTTACTTGTTCATGTTATGCGAAATACATACACAAATATTGCTTTTTTATGTTTTAGCAATATTAGCATCAGATTCATTGAAAAATTAAAACTGCACTGAAGCTAAAACATTTTCAAAATCAAAAAAGTAATAGGTTGAGTTTCAAATTTAAAAATTAAATGAAATAAAAAATTGCCACACATTTTAGAAGGAAATCTAGAACCTGAATTGAAAAGCTTGTAATATTAATCTTTAAGTTTAAAATGTGGTTGACCATTGAACCCATCTATATCTTCCTCTTGTCAATACTTGCATCTCTAACTAGAATCCCGTAGAACTTCTTGGTATCATTAGTAATGATTTTATGTCTTGCTTCTTTTCTGATTGGGCCACAGGCCTTCAAAGGGCTTAAAAGTAACCCTTGAATTGGAGTGTCCGATGGTCTGCTATGCTTTTTCTCTCAATATTGATCTCTTTAGTGTCATCTGCAAAATCAGTTTTAACGAAAAACTAAAAAGCTTATCTTTAAGCACCTACATTTCGCTAAGTTTGCGCTAAGTTTTCACTCTTCATCAGTCTGAGGCGCTGGCAGCCCAACGCATGAATTAAAGTGAGAATAGTGAGATTTTCAAAAAAAAGTAGTGAGGAATAGTGAGTCTATACATAAAAAAGGATTAATTTTCTGAGAAATTGATATCGTAATGCCTAATTTAAACGGACAATATGAATTAAGCGTGAAAAAAACGAGAATTACTCATAAGTTTTTTGTTACCATTGCATTGAGGTAAGCAGAAATAATTGCATTGCAAGTATATGCTGCACAAAAGAAACAAAAAAAAATAACATATTCTTCTAAATACAGGAGAGGTATTTATTATCTTTTAAGTATTCTTGCCGAATTGATTGAAATTTGGTATAGCTTTTATGGATGAGTATTTTCTACACAATAGTTGATTAACTCAGTCGTCAGATCATAAGACTAGAGTACTTGTCCGTAGGAACCAGGAGGCTCTTCGATGGGTTCCCATGGCCACTTCCTGGCTCCGCAATATTGAATTAGAATGACGTCACTTTGCTTATTGTGTTTTTTTATCAAGCCCTTTCAGTCGATAACGGTACATAGGGGTAACTATAGAAATTATGAACGCCATCTTGCGACGGCCGGCATATTTGATTTAAAATGACGTCTCTTTCCTTAGTGTGTCTCTCTAGCCCTTTCATCAGATACCTATATATGTACTAGGGGTGACTATGGAAATTATAAATCGTCATATTGGATTTAGAATGACGTTAATTAATTACCCATATCACATACGATGGAAATGATAAATCGCCATTATGTAGCATACGCCATATTAGATTCAAAATGACGGCGGTTAATTTATTATGTATTATCACACGAACCAGACAGGCATAGAAAAGTTCAGCTCAATTGGTTCAAAATGTGTCTCACATATGCATACTAACGAGATAACAGTTACTTGTACAAATGTTATAAAAAGTGCCAATGTTAATGCAATTTATATTCAAATTAACCTGGGAGAAAATGAACACGCTTCAGGATAAATTCATGTTTTCTGTCTCTCCAAATATATAAGTAGTCTGAATTGACAAAATATCTGAGTAACATTGTATTAGTTACCTAAATGCGCAACTTTGCCTTCATGAACGACTTTGTTCTGTATTGCTTACCGTTTCCGAATTTGAAATCCCCAGTGCATATAATATATACTCGTTTTTTGAGTTATCAAGTTGGGATTCGAGACTAATTCACGAGTACGTTGCAATCAATTAGACTATGTAGAAGGTACCAGTCAAGGATTTGTTTGTCTCCTATGATACTCTGCAATGAGGATCAAAGTGCACTTGACATAAGTCAGTTTTTTTACAGTTGTCATCGAATTCATAGTTATAGTGTTACGAGGGATGTCTTTTAAGTTTTGCATATGGAAATAAAACAACACGGTAGGTAGTTTTAAATGACTATTGTTTTACGAAGTATTCTCCACGAAGATTAATACACAGATATGCGCTCGAACCAATTTTCAAAGCACTTATTCCACTCGTTTGCTGGCAGATCCAAAACGGCATTTTTGAATTCGTCAACTGCTTCTTCTGGTGACTGGAACCTTTGACCACGCAGTCTGTTTTTAATTTTCGGGAAAGTAAAGAAATCGTTAGGACTTAGATCGGGACTATATGGAGGATGGTCCAATAATTCCACGTTTTCTTCCGTTAAATACTGCCTTGTTTTTTGGGCCGTATGCGAGCTTGCATTGTCTTGGTGGAGGATGATTCTTCTTTCGGGGTTGATATTTCGAAGCTCGGTGATGACTTGTGGCAAACAAATGGTGGTATACCAATCCGCAGTAACAGTTCTTTGCGCATTAAGAGGAATTGTTGCAATATGGCCCGCTTTTGACACAAATGTCGCGACTATCTTTTTCGAAACACTTCAAGAACGGATGACTTTTGTTGGCTTTTCTTCACCTTGGAACACCCAAACAGCCGACTGTCGTTTATTTTCTGATTCATAACATTATATCCACGATTCATCACCACTAAAAATACTGTACACATTTTGTGAGTTTCCTTAATACGGTCAAGCGTTTTTTGACACTAATTAATCCTGGCTGCTTTCTGCTCTTCAGTCAACAGGTGGGGTATAAAATGAGAAACTAATTTTCTTACTCCTAATTCTTCATGTAAAATTTTTTGAATTAAAAACTGCAACTACCAATTTTGACAACAAACATTGCCGTGTAAACTATAGGCTTGGCTTCGCATTTGTTGGTTGCAATACTTTG